CAACAAATGTTATATATAAATATACAGGGTCTATCTGGAAACAGTCCAGTCACTGTTACTATGAGACTGGCTTGTACTACGCTGATGTAACCTGGCAGCCAAGGAGAGTGGACTGGAACGTGCGCGTGTGAACAAGGACTTCACTGTACTAGTCAGTGGGGTCAGTAGATGCCACTGAGTGAGCATGTGTGCTGTTTGGTTGTCGCGTCCACAATGACTGAGTGAGTAGAGCAACAAATCTGCATCAAATTTTGCAGTAAGCTTGAACATTCCTTCATGGAAACTATTGGGAATATTCAGAACTACTGATTGGCAGCTTCATCACAACAACACACCTGCTCAAGCATCATGTCTCCAGCAGTTTTTTGAAAAACATCAAATCACTCAGGTGACTCAGTCACCCTATAGCCCAGATTTGGCACGCTGTGACTTTAGGCTTTTCCCAAAACTAAAATCACCTTTGAAAGGGAAGAGGTTTCAGACCATCAGTGAGACTCAGGACAATATGATGCGGCAGACAATGGTGTTTGGGAGAACTGCGTGAGGTCCCAAAGTGCCTATTTTGAAGGGGACTGAGACGTTATTGTCCTATGTGCAATGTCTCTGTATCTTCTTCAATAAATGTCTCTATGTTTCATATTACATGGCTGGGTGCCTTCTGGACAGACCTGGTATAATAAACAGCCAAATCCAACTGCACATACCACAGAAGGGTCATAAAGAAGAAATGAGACTCATCATTTGAGTGGATTTGCTGGCTTAAGTGAACATCTCTCCCCCTGAGACTTCTTTCTTTGTTTCAGCTCAAGCTAGCCATAAATAAACTTGAGTAGTATTCAAGAATATGTTATTAAAGAATCTCTGAAAATGGCAATACAGTCTGTTATTTGGATTCTACCAAGTAAAAAGATAATCAGAATATCCTAGCAACGAGGAGAAAGAGAAGAGTGTAAAGACTGAGGCAGATGGTAAGATGCACATCAACATATTGCTCATCACTGAAAGACAATCAATGCAAGTATTCCGGTACACTTTCCTCCAGGTTTTTACCTATGCCACTCTTGGAGGATCTGGGAGAAAAACTTACAGAAGCCTGAACTCCCTTAGCCTATAGATACACAATGTTATTTTCTTCCTATGGTGTGACAATCTTTGATGTGTTCTCTTGGCTAGGCTATAGTCCTCAGTTATTCAGACATTATGAAGTTGCTATTTGGATGACTGTAATCTAGGTGAGCCAGATTCAATCCATTGAAAGGCCTTAAAAACATACCCGAGGCTTCCCTGAAGAAATTTTACCCGTTGACACCAGCTTCAGCCTTTTGAAGACTTCTAGCCTCCCCTTCCCAGTGGCCTGCCCTATAAATTTTGGGCCTTCCTAGCCAGCCCCCACAACTGTGTAACTCAATTCCTTGTAAGACATTTCTTATGACTGCATCCTTTTTATTGATTACATTAGTACTTTAAGAAACAATGATTCATGCCAATTCCAAACTTTTCCTTAAGGTCTAATTCAGGCCAACCACCCCCAAACAGACACATGAGGTTCAGAAAATTATTTTAGTGGGTTAGGATCAATGTAAACAACAAAAAATATAGAAAATCAGCATATATCACTTGTGGAACAAGTGACATGGAAGCTATGGTGACGGTAAAAGCACTGGAGTTGACTTCATGGGTATTTTTTTTCTTTTTAGATTTTGTTTATTTATTTTTAGAGAGAGGAGGAGGAGAAAGAGGGGGAGTGAAACATCAGTGTGTGGTTGCCTCTAGCGCACCCCCTACTGGGGACCTGGCCTGCAAACCAGGCATGTGCCCTGACTGGGAATTGAACTGGTGACCCCTTTGTTTGCAGGCCCACACTCAAGCCACCTAGCTACACCAGCCAGGGCTTCATGAGTAGTTTTAATGTTATTGACTTCCCCCAACCCTCCAACTTTCCCACTTTCCGGGTATCAGGAACTAACTATGTCAGCTTGGAGGAGAGAAAAATTCCTAGCAGAGGCCAATGGACATACTCCCTTCTTCTAGGATCTCTAGGACCATTTTAATATGCTAAAAATTTAAATCTACAGACAGAAGGTAAAGGAGTACAAAATACTATTTGGGTATTTTGGTAAACTAGAATAATATGGCACAAGATTACGACCAATTTTTTTGCCCATCTTAAAAATTTATATCTCATTGCATTTAGGGCTGGGTCCAGAGATAGCAACTTAATTTTGTCGAGTTCCCAAACAGATGTATTTTGATATTATGTACAACTAAAAAGAATTATTATTTTATATTATATAACTGATATTCTACCCTACTGAGAATTAAATAATGGTTCAAGGAAACCTATGATTCTGTCACAACAGTGAGATTTAAGGAGATGAAATCGCTCTCTTAAGTAGCAGAGTAAGTTGTTGTCCTGTGGCATAAATAACTGTTTACTCACTTTCTATAATCACCCGCATGATATTAAGCAGCTTCATCAATAGCTACATTCATAGTATTTTATTTGGGCATATACTGACCTCTAACATAAGAAATGGGACATGATTTTCTGGGAGGTGAATTTATGTTGTAGTACTTACTTGAGTTCTCTACTGAGGACTACATTAATCCTGTCCTTTAAAGGTCGATTCTTCTTGGGAATGGAGAACCAGGTCTTCCTACCCATAATCACCACATTCTGTTTACCTATAAAGTCACATAGAAAGAACAGATATATTTTATAAATAGATTTTCACATACTTGTATATATGCATACATATAATTGTCCTACTGACATCTAGTGGATCTGCTTCAAAAAATTAACAATTTTAACAGCTTTACCAAAATTTATTATTTATTGCCTAAATAAAATAATTATTTTCCCTTTTCGCTTCATCCAACTTATATGCAATACATTTTTAATCAATTGTAGTCATGTATAATATAGTAGTGAAAAGCAAAGACTCTGAGTCAGTGTTCAAATTGAACATATTATATTATCTACTGAGCAAGTCATGTTAATCTTCTGTGTGTTACCCATAGCTATAAAATGGAGATAATATACAGAGTGGGGCAAAAGTAGGTTTACAATGGTTCATATGGAAATAATAATTAATAAACAGTAATACAAGAATAGAGTGTGTTCTCTACCCACAACTGTAAACCTAGTTTTGCACCACCCTGTAGTTTCTACGTCTAGTGTGGTGGGGAATGAAGACTTAGAGCAATGTCTGACATCTAAAAAGTACTATTTAACTATCTGATATAATAGTATTCACATTTGTATACTTTGTAGATTTACAGTCATACCTGCTTAATAGTCCACTCAATTTGCTTAAAGTACTTTCAATTTGGGCTTCTTTACTTAAAAACTTTATGCAAATAGCTTCCATTTTTGGTTTAATTATTTAGGAGAAAAAAGCTTGTGAGTCAGATATCTGGATCAAAGCAACACAGTTCTGATTCTTGGTATGTCATGAGACTACTACCAAAAGGAGCACATTGATCTGTTTTCTTAATGAATCATTATTAGTTTGATTAAAAAAACACACTAATATTTACAAACTACAAATACTAGGACTAGGCATTTTTCCATACTTTGTTTCCTATTACCAGATTACTTAGGATTCTAGAGGGTGGTTCATGCCAATTCTTTAGCTTCAAGCTCTTGCCATCTTGTCTCTATCAGTGACCTAAGTGCCAAGTTTGTACCTGTTCTCTTAAAGTTATGTTGCACCTGCTCCTTTCTGACTATTTCCTTGTTATTCTGCTATTCCTCCTCCTATGACCAAATATACATCTTAGGTTTTAAATGGGTATTCTCCAACCCCACATTCTTTTCCTTGGTTATCCTTTTCTTTCCAGTGTCTTAATTCACCTAGCACCGTATCCCTGAATTCCCTACAAGCACCTCAAAATCACCACAATTGCAAACTATTCTCCATACCACCCATACTCTTAAACTGAAAATATGAGAGTTCATCCTTGATGCCTTCCTGGCATTAATTACCTTCACCTTCCTGGTTTCCAAATTGAGTATCATGTAACCGTTCTTTGGACTTTTATCCTTTCCAATACCTTCCTTCAGGCTTGCTTCATCATCTCTTTTGGCTGCTGTTCCAAAGGCCTCCTCTGGTGTCCAGAGCCAACCTTTACCTAGCTGCCAATTCTGCACAATACCTCTATTGTACCCGTGTCCAGAGAAAAGAACTTAAACAAAAGTTTAATAAACACTGGGAACTTCATGAAGATAAATGGTAAGATAAAAGGTCCCAGTTTAACATGGAAAACTTTACAATTAAGTAAAATCTGCACTGGTAAGCTTACTCAAGCCAAGAATCTTTGGAAATCTCAATCACTTAAAAATCCCCCATTACCTTCTGCTGAAGTGGTTGTAGTCATTCTATGGAAATATTTGAGTTCACTCCTACAAGTTAGAGAAACACAGTTACTAAGAATGTCCCCGTGGGCTCCAGCTCTAACTTGCCCAACAAATGGTAAGCAGGACGGTGGTGGTCCCCAGGACTGAGACTTTACAAGGAGACAGGGCGCTGCGGAGAAAATGCCTCGCCGGGCGGCAGGAACGGGACGGTAATCAGTAACTTGGCCTCCCGGCTCCTGACAGAGAAGGAAGACCAGGCCAAGCTCCTGGCAGCTTCAAGTCGAAAGTTCAACCCCACCTCCCGTCCCGCGGCCTGTCCGCCCAGAGCCACCAGGCCCAGCTGCCTCAATCAAGGTCAGCTTGCGCCAGCCTCTGTCCTCTAACACCAACCCATCCCCAGCCCGGGAGGCACCTGATATGGGGCCAAGGTAGGTTTCCATTGTTCCCAATGCCCATGTTCTGGGACACAGCGACGATGCAGTTTAGGGGACGAACCATGACGGCGGCACCACAAGGCTCGGAGCTTGCAAGCTTCAATAGTACACCCTACAAACCTTGGCGCGAAATTGTAGCCATCCCGCCCCCTCGGTTCCATTGGTACACGCGAAACCCCGCCCCTGTCCCGCCCACCGCCTCGGCGCAAGTCTGGGTCGCGACGTGCTCGCCCCCGCAGACGCCCGGGAACTGGGGTCGCGCGCTCGCGCTCCTTTGCGGCCCAGTCCCCGGGCTGTCACTCCCTGCCCCGTGATGTCGCGCCGAAAGCCAGTCTCTGGCGGCGCGGCTGCCGCTGGGCCATCCCCAGGAAGCCAAGCGGTTTTGAGCAGATTCTTCCAGTCTACGGGGAGCCTGAAATCCACCTTCTCCCCCAGGGGTGCCGCGGAGAACGCTGAACCTGACTCTGACCCCGCAGCGCCTCCAGCGTCCCCTCTCCAGCCTCTGTTGCCGTCACACGTGGGTTTGGTGTAGGACGGGGCGGTGCTTGTGGGTAGAGCGGGAGGAGAAGGGGCGCGTGCGCGAAAATTAAGGAGGGGGTGGTGCCGGAAGAGAAAGGGGCGGGATTCGGACAGGTGAAAGCGTGGAAAACTAGGCCATCCTTCATCCTAAGTGCATTAAAAAAATTGCAATTTCCCCTTGGCGTAATTGACTTGAGGCTGAGAATCATGCAGATTCTTAATGGCAGACCAGAGACAGGAACTCAGGTCTACTGACTCCCATTCCAATGAGGGGAGGGGTGGTGTGGGCAAAGGATAGTTCTTTTACCTTCCAACCCTCTTTTTTTTTTTTTTAATACTTCCCTCTTTTTTATAGAGGAGCTTTATTTATCTTATTTATATGGGTTTTGTTAGGGGCCACTCTTCAACTGAGTAAAATAAATAGTTGTGTTTTTGTTATTTTTTTACTGGGCATTGCAACAGGGATGAACCCTCACTGGGGTCCCTGCTACAGTTATTTCTCAAACTGAGGATGTTGAGGGAGATTGCAGATCGGCTTTCTGCCACTCTCTAAGTTTTAATGACAGCTTGGCTACTTTAAAATCTTGTTTCTTTATGTATCTTTTCCATAGAGTGATTGGGTCTCTCCTGTTTTTGTTTTAATGATAGTTTACATTTTATGAATTCATCAGGGTTTTATTGTATACTCATCATTTAGAGCAGGGGTATCAAACTCATTTTCACGGGGAGGGGTGGGCCACATCAGCCTCGTGGTTGCCTTCAAAGGGATGTAGTTTTAGGCCTATATAAGTGTAACTACTCCTTAACAGTTAAGCAAGAGCTAGGTGCTGCCACTGGGCAGAAACAAGGTGCTGGCCAGATTTGGCCCGTGGGCCTTGTGTTTGCCACCTGTGATTTGGAGGGTATTTGGTAAAGGACATAAGGTTTTTTGACAGGCTGACTACCAACAAATGTTCATGATCTTGTGGCATCTTCAGTGGTGAACATAAAATGTAAATTACAATGAACGTTTCAGAAATGATACTGTTCTTTCATTGTCTGTCTGATTTCACATCTAAATAAGTATTTTTCTTTTAAAGGTATTTTATTAACATGTGTAAGTACAGTAATTCAAGTTGCATAATTTGAGATAATGAAGGCTGACTGAGCAAAGTAAGGTGGCAGCTTGGTTCTAATTACTCCTAGCAGGGCTTGAGATGCTGAGACCTGTCAGTATTTACCTTGTCTTTGATGATGGTGAAGACATTGACTGATAGGTCTTTTCAGAGCTCAAAGTAGATGATTCTAGGAAGGAGGATGGCAAGGACCTTGCTGTTATTCAGCAATAAGGCTTAGATTATTTCAAATACATCATGTTTTGAGTTTAGAAATAACACATCATTTTCTAACTCTCCTGTATAGGCTGCAGAAATTGACATAAGTAAAAAGAGACCACTACAGAATGATGGGCCTGTTAAGAAGAAAGCAAAGAGAGTCAAAGAAAAGGAAGGACAGAGTGATCCAGTGATGTCTGGGAACCCTGGTGAGTTCTGTACTAGTGGTTTTTCATTCTCACTGTCATACTCTGATAGTCTTGCATTATCCAGAGGGCACAGGAGGCTGTTTGCGGAGTTGTGCCATTTCCTTTTCTTTTGTGGAGAAAGGTCTCCGCTGTGCTGTGGAGCGGCCCCTTCATGAGTGGCGGTGGTGTGTGTAGGAAGTTGGGAAAGTGGAGGTAAGAGCTGGGGTTCTGCAGTGTGGCTGTAGTTTCCTCTATCTATTTTTTGTCCTAATTATGAAAGTAAAACATGTTTGTTAAAAACAAGCAACACAGAAGTGTGAAAGGTGGACAGTGGAAGACCTCATCACCCCTCTCTTTCAGTGAGGCCTACTGCTAATTTTGGATTTTCAGGTTTTTCTACTTATATGGATGTACACATATAGACCCACAAGTGAGTTAATAATATTTTATAAGTTGCTTCATACTATATGTGCTAATTTACAGCTATCTTTTTCCACTTAGCAGAACATTTTGAACAATTTTCAATGTCAAGACATGTAGATCTCCCCTGTTGTTAAGAGTGAAGCTGCTTTTTTCTGTTTGTGAGAAGGTTTTGGATAAAACCACCATTCCTTAGGTCCCAGATTTCTGTAGGTTGTGTTGGATACATAGGTGGTTGAGCAGATTTTCCTCTGGTTTTTGGCCTCACACAATTTGTGGTAGGGGAAGACGGCAAATGCTTCTGTCTTCATTATCCTCATGCCTGAAGCGACATAAGCCTTTCTGAACTAATGACAGCTCAGGAATGAAGCTTTGTGGAGGAATCTTCCTGGTCAGGGTGGGGTAGGGTAGGATAGGATGGTAGGGAGGAGGGCATGAAAGTAAGCCATTAAGTCATTGTCCCTGCGTCCACATTACTCCAGATGCAGCCAGGTGAACTCTGAAAGTTGTGGAGATAAGGCCATAGACATGGAAGGTTTTGAAATACGAACTTGACAGTTTATTTTTAAAAAAATAATGGGCAGAAAAGAGGAGCGTCCACCAGCCAGAGAGTTGCTGGCCAGTTCACCTCAAATTTTGTTTTTCTTTTTCAGTCCCAGTTGACATTTAATATTATTTTATTTTAGTTTCATGTGTATTTTAGTTTCATGTCTAGTGGCTAGACAATTATATAATTTACACACAGATTGCCTGATAAGTTTAGTACACACCTGGAACTGTACATAATTATTATAATATTCTTGACTGTATTCTCTGTGCTTTATTTTACATCCCCATCACCTCAAATTTTTATAACACATTAGTTTTAGATATTCTTTCTTTTGCAATATTTGCACCCTACCCCCATCCTGCGAAAGGTTGTTTGTATTCTTAGGAAGGGAGCCCTTGTATAATATACAAAGTTATACTTTTGAATAGTGATTCAAGTATATATTTTGAAAGAGAGTAATAGTAAATAGGATGAATATATAAAATCAAAGAGACACAAATAGACATTTTTCTAGCTATGAGATTAATAAGCAATAAGATAAAGTATACTTCTAAAAAGAGGTTTATCTTTTTTCAAGATTTTATTTATTTTTAGAGAGAAGGGAAGGTAGGGAGAAAAATGTGCGAGAGATGCATTGATTGGTTGCCACTCCCATGCCCCCAAATGGGGACCTGGCCTGCAACCCAGGCCTGTGCCCTGACTGGGAATTGAAACTGCTCCTGGTTCGAAGGCCAGCACCCAATCTACTGAGCCACACCAGCCAGGGCTAAAAAGAGGTTTAAATAGAAGTAAGAAATGTTTTACCTTGGCTGGTGTGGCTCAGTGGATTGAATGCTGGCCTGCAAACTAAAAGGTCGACAGTTCAATTCCCAGTCAGGGCACATGCCTAGGTTGTGGGCCTGTGAGAGGCAACTGTTTCTTGCACAGCAATGTTTCTCTCCCTCTCTGTCTCCTTTCCTATCCCCCCCTCTAAAAATAAAAAAAATAAAATCTTTAAGAAAATAAAAGTTTTAAACTTTTACAAATGAACAAAACATAACTCTTGCCCTCAGGTTGTTTTTGCTTTAAAAGGGAAGGTAGGAGATAGGTGATGAGTGCAATCCCAGTTTCCTTACATATAATAGTAGCTACCGAACTAGTAGTGCTCCAAAGGGTAGATTAGGGTTTTCTGGCATATAGCAGGTAACCAGTCAGTGACTGTTTCCCTTTTATGAATGGATTGCATATGAGTCACTGCCAGTTGGCAGGCTCTGGTAAGTGTTGTAGAGCATCAGTCCCCAACCTTTCTGGGTCCAGGGACAGGTTGTTGGAAGACAGTTTTTTTCATGGATGGGGGTGGGGAAGGGGGGATGGTTTGGGGATGATTCAAGCTCATCATATTCAAAGTCAGTTCCTGCCGTGCGGCCTGATTCCTAGTAGGCCTGGACTGACCCGTCCATAGCCTGGAGGTTGGGGAACCCTGCTGTAGAGAGAGATGATCTTGTCATAGGAACACAGAAAGAAAAGGTGATTTTAATTAAGCTGAGGAATTAGCAGAGCATTTCATGGGAAAGATAGCTTTGCGATAGCTCTTGATGAATGAGTGCAATTTTGACATGTGGAGGTTGTGGGCAAGGCTGGATCACGGAGAAAGAATGGCACGAGCAAAGCTGTGGAGGCAGGAAAGCAGGTGTGTCTGCAGTGGTGGTTCTGTTGCCTCTTGGTGCATTCTTGGTGTCAGTATCGTTACGTGTTTCCTGTTGAGTTGGTGAGATTTCCCAGTCCAGATTCTCCCCAGCTTCTGCCTTAGTGCAGGGCACTGTTCTGAGAAGAGACTCTCAGAAGAGGCTGCTTTTCAGCATACAGTGAAACTGTATTCCGTTAGTATTCTTTTAGTTCAGGCACAGTACTGCATCTCAACTGTGCCTGTGTTGGCCTTTTCCAGAGAAATTGCCAGACCTCTGCTGATGTGAGAAAGGACAGCTGCCCTTGGACTTAGGGTATAATAGGGCAGTCTAGAGATCAGATTACTTTGAACCAATCCTCTTTACTTTAGAACCTCCCTTTAGTTCATTTTCAGAGCTACTGGTGCCCTAATTCCTGAGCCTTTTAAGCATTTTATGTGGTAAATATAGGATTGGTTCTTGGTTTACTTCACTACTGATTTAGGATTTAGCTTTTGGGTATGCTTAATTGGTTGCTGATTCATTTTTCCTTCTAGCTTCAGATACTACATTTGCAATTCTCATCTCTCCTTTTCTTTCTGTACTTACAGGCTTATGGGTTGAAAAAAAGCAAAACCATGTAGTTTCTAATGGGGGTTTTAGGACCAAGTGATATTAGAAATTAGATGTATGTTTCATGTATGCCATCTTTACCTTGAACCCAAGTCTTTAAATTTTCTTATACTATAGCTTATATTACATTGATTTAGTATAAAACTCTTTCTTTAAAAACCCTGTGCTGGTTATGAATTGATATAATGAGACAAAACACTATTGTTCTATTTTCTTTTAATTTGCTAAGAGCCGAAGAAATGTCCGAAGACCAAGATTGTTTTAAAGTCTTTGGAAAAATTGAGAGAATTCTGCTGCGATTCCGCCCTTCCTCAAAATAGAGTCCAGAGGGAACCTCTTCAGGAGAGATTTGCAGTTCTGCCAAAATGTACTGACTTTGATGACATCAATCTTCTGCGTGCAAAGAATGCAGTTTCTTCTGAAGATTCCAAATCTCCAGGTAGTCAGAAGGTATGTAACAGTTGTATAGATGAATACCCCACTGCTAAGGAGAGCAGGTTCTGAGGTGCCATTGGTCTCTGTGGGTCCGCTCAGGGCATGGTTCCCTCACCTGGCTGATCATCAGAATTAGTTAAGGGAGCTTTTACATTTCATTTCATTTTAATTTTTATTTTACTGGCATTTGTGATTCATAGAAGATTAGAAGTAACCAGTTAGAAGGGACACTTAGAAGTAGTAGATGGATGTTATTACAAGTGATAGCTGAGTATTTGATGGCGTGGAAGGGCACAGACACATGGCAAAAAGCTACCGAATGAGCTTAAATGCCCAGTGGCCTTGGACCATTGGTGTGGATTTAACAACCCTGTTAAGTCTTGATAGATCCTAAAATTTCTGTTTATTAATCTAATTACCCTGAGTTGTCAAGACTTCAGTTGAGTGCAGAATGTTAAATTGAATGCAAAATGCCGTCTGTGGGAATGTGAAAGAGCACTATACATCTAAGAAGTATTTTTCTCCAAGTGGTAAGAAAAATGTTGCTTAATACTTGAGTATTCAGACCGAACTTTCATATATGCATAAAAGTTTTTCCTCGGTGCCTACTCTCATTCCAAATGTGAATAAGGACTGTATAGTAAGGACTTTTTTCCCCTTGGGAAACATTTGTTGAAGTATTAAGTTTTTCCATATGTAGTGGAATTTTCTGGAATTTACATAAAAGTCATGGAAATGAAGAAACTGTACATCAGTTTTTACATATGTAGTGGAATTTTCTGGAATTTACATAAAAGTCATGGAAATAAAGAAGAAACTGTACATCAGTATTAAAAGCGAATACTTTGTCCAATGTGATATGTTGCCCACTTTTCTCTTGCCACACCTCTCCATACCTGTCTTGTTATTGTGCTTCTTCAGAAGTTCGCTGGGCTACACTTTCAGATAAATTGCATCTAAACCTGCTGTCCCAGCCAAGCTGAGTTTCTAGAACATTCCACAAACGTAAAGTACATGTTTTCTGGGTTTTCTCTTGGATCGCAGCTCCCCTCTCTGGGCTGCAGAGGACATTTCTCTTTCTTCTCCTGCTGGTCCCCAGTTTTGGGGGGCTATATATATTTTGAATTCCAGGGGTAGATAGTAAATGTTTTTACGGGCTGGCAGTGACACAGTGACAATTAATTAGAAGTTGAATTTATCCTACAAATTTGTCTCATTTTACCTTTTGTATAAATAAGTTAAAAGGAAGGAATTTGCTCTAAGCTGTGAATTGGAATTAATTATGGTTTTCATACAGGAAAGTAAGGATAGCAGGAATACTAATGTTGAAAATGTAACCTTGTGGTTTATGCTTTCTGAAAGTTTTTTATTTTTATTCCATGAAGTATAGTAGTAAATGAATCAACTATAAGTGATTAAATTGCACATGGACCTCTTTTCTTTTTTAAACCATTTTATTTATTTATTTTTAGGGAGAGGGGAAAGGAGGGTGAGAAACACTGATCGGTTGCCTCTCACATGCCCCCATCCAGGGACTCGGCCTACACCCCGGGCATGTGCCTTGCGTGGCTGGAAACCAGACTGGTGACCCTTTGGTCCGCAGGCCAGTGCTTAGTCCACTGAGCCCCACCAGCCAGGGAGGACCTCTTTTTTACTGAAAATGTGGAGAAGCACCATAATCTCTAAATTACTGTCCCTTCCATAAATATAGTAAAAAAATAAAATCTGTAAATGACAACTTTACTTTTCCAAAACTTTTAATCATGGTTTTTCTTAGAGTAGTTATGGGATACTGTATTTTGCCGTGTATAATGCACACTCTTTTGTCCAAATTTTTTAGGGGAAAATAAGGATATACATTATACATGGGTAGTACTAATTCTGTATCTATATAAATGTTTTTTATGAATTATTTATGCTTATGTGTTAAAAGTATAACTCTAGGAAACAATAACAATGTCCATATGTTAAAAAATAAATGCTGAAATTTCTTTATAATGCAAAAAACAAGTATCCAAATATAAATAAATAAATCAATAGAATCAAAGAATTAAAATGAAAGATTTTCTTCCTGAAAGTCTGGGGAAAAAACATGGGTGCGCATCGTATGCTGGGGTGCATTCTACGTGGCCAAATATGGAACACTGTGCTTGGAGACACAAAACACTGCAACTTTAGCTGCCCTCCTGTGCGTGAAATGATTCTGCCTCACAGCAGTGAGAGACAGGTTCCTGCCTGCCGACTGTGCCCTGCACACCCGAAACGAATAATGAAAAGAAAAATGTTAATTGCAATAGGTTTAATGAAATTAAGTGTAAAAAGAAGTGTACAAAACATTAAAATGTTTAGACTTTTAAAACTTGCTTTAATAATTCTACAGTAGTTTAGTTTGGCTCGTTTATTTTTGTCTTTCATTTTGAAAATACTTTAAACCTACAAAAAATTTGCCTTGTCCTCCTCAGATTCACCAGTTGTTAGCTTTGTGTCAAATTTGCATTCCCTGTCTCTGGGAACTAATGTTAAGGTTAGTACTTTTTCGACTGTAAAAATCTCTTGGTCGTCAGGACAAGACACTTTCTGATCTCCGTCCTTTTGGATCATCACATGGGAGTTACGAAAACTTGCAGAAAATTCCTGATTCTAAACCGTCTAACAAAAGGACCAAGAGCATCTACACGCCGTTAGAATTGCAGTACATAGAACTGAAGGAGCAGCAGAAAGATGCAGTTCTGTGTGTGGAGTGTGGGTACAAGTATAGATTCTTTGGGGAAGATGCAGAGGTAAGTTGTTTTTTCAAACCCGTTTTCATGGTCTTTTTGTCCAGCCTTAAATATTTTTCAGTATTTTTGTTTTGTTTTCTGACCTTTTGAGGAAGTGAATATAATCAATTACCCTTTAAAAATGCTGGTTTAAAGTAAAAACTAAAAATAAACACAAACTTGGTGAAAGCTAGACCTGTTGGGAAGAAAGTGAGGGCTTCCTACTGGCATGTTGGTGCTTATTCTCCATGGTGTTCGCTTGGTACCTTTTATTTATCAGAAGTTGATTGGATGAATCAATTAATGAGTGTACCGTTACCATGTATCTGTTTCCTAATGAAGGCTCAAGCAAGAAAAAGTTTTTGAAATGTAAGTTCCTCTGTTTACCCTTAATTTACGAATTTCCACAGACAGTGGAAGAGCCTATTAACTCTGCCAGACGCCAACCGATGATTGAAGTCATTCAGGTCTCTGTGTATTAGTCATCATACTATATATATCTGCGCTGGGTTTGCATTTTATTTTGGAGATTTGATGTAGCCTGAGTTAAGAAGGTTAGAAGTAAATTCGAGCATTTAAGGGCGAGCTTAGGGAAAGACTCCGTTGGGCGATTTTGATGATTCCATAGTTTTAGGCCTGGTCAGGTTGTCCACCCTCAGAGAATGAGGAGGAGGCACTGCCGCTGCTGTGTGGATGGGCAGTGAAGCCTTGGCCAACTTTTTTCTTTCAGTTTTCTAGTCCTGCTGTGGCAGGAAAGTTCAGATGGCATTGTGCCGTGTCCTGCATTATGCTGTTAGACTTTGGAACAGAGTCAGCATGCTTCCTGCAGACAGGAACAAATATGTAGTTGGCATCCTGTAACTGAAGGGGTAAAAGGAAATGCTGTGCTCTCCCCTTCTTTCTAGATCAAACGACAGATCTAGCTTTAACTACAGTAAAGGCTGATGTTTTCTGCCCTGTCCTGCAGCGATGAACTAACACAGTTCAGAAATGGTGGGTTAGGGGCGTGAGCATGTTGGAGTGAGAGTTCTGTGGCTCTGGTGGGCAGTCTCGGGGCCGGGGTGCTGTCTGGAAGAGCAGGGAGGCAGGTGGTGGTGCCCGCTTCTGCATTTTTGTCATGCATGCATCGTTAATTAGCTAACCAGACCGGGGGCTTCTCTCCTCACTTCCTCAAAGACACCCTCTGTTCAAGTAGTTTATAATTTATGTACCCATACCCTTAATATCTCCTAGTTTTGAATTATTTCTATGTGCTATGGTATTAAATTCTTATTCCATTACAGTTTCTTATTCTAATTGCATTACAGGGAAAGCTCAGCACATTTTAAAGTTTTGATAGAGCTAAGGACATAGAAGAAGACCTGTCATATTATTCTGAGTCATTTGTAGCTACAGATGTTGACCCTGAGGTTAGGCCATGGGAACTGCCAAAAATACTAGTTTAAACTGTAGGCTTCTACACAGGGAATGACTTTGAAACTTTTTATTGAAACGCCACACAAATAGAGAAGAGCACAAATCCTACGTGTATACCTTGATGAGCTTTTTAAAAAGTGAACAAATACCACACAAGGGATCTTGAAATGAAAATTTGTTGATATTCTCTTTTTCATTTCTTTAGATTGCAGCCCGGGAGCTCAATATTTATTGCCATTTAGATCACAACTTTATGACCGCGAGCATACCTACGCACAGACTGTTTGTTCACGTGCGCCGCCTTGTGGCAAAGGGGTATAAGGTCAGCTTCGGCTTCAGCTTGTGGGAGTAGGGGATCCGACCCAGAGTGAAAATGGATTTTGTAAGGTGGTAGGCTCTGATTGGTTTTGGAGTTTGGCATTTTGGGGAAATGAAATTATGGCATAATTATTAGCATTATATCTTCATGAGTTTTAACATAAAAGATGTTGAGGTAAAATTTAAAAAATCTGTTGTGTTTCAGAATTGAACTTTTAACATCTCCAAACATGTTTTTAAAAGTTTTTTTTTTTTAATCACATTTGATATTTAATATTTCTTGTTTTTGCCAAAGGTGGGAGTTGTGAAGCAAACTGAAACAGCAGCATTAAAGGCCATTGGGGACAACAAAAGTTCACTCTTTTCCCGGAAATTGACTGCTCTGTATACAAAATCTACACTTATTGGAGAAGATATCCTTTTTGAATAGAAAATTTCCTGTTAAATTTCAGAAATCTTTGTTTTAAGTAGCATTTTTAAAAAAACTGTTTTTTTGGGTATGTTTTTAATGAAATGGGGGGATACGGTTACTTCAACCTTTGATTAGTGTGCTGCTGAGGGCTGTGGGTCGGGAATGGCAGGAAACAAGCATTTTTTGTCCCCCAAATGCCATAGTAAAAGGAGAGTTTATCATACTTTAAGAACAAGAAAAAGGACAGCTTGATAAAAGATAATGGCAGGTTAGCAACTGACTTGAAATCCCGTCTTTCCTAGACCCGGTGGGTGGGCGGTGGTGAGGAGCTGCGGTGTATAAGCTCCTCCACATCTTCCTGAGGCAAGACCTAAAAAGTAGGTTACCGACTTCAAAATGAGAAACGGAAACTAAAAAGTCAACACACAGGAAATTACTTATAAAACATAGGCCATCTTCATTAATTGTTGGCTTTATAAAAATTATATTATTTTTGAAAACAGATGATAGGTGGAGCTGTCTCACTTTGTAAGAATCCTTAGTTTGCAGAATAATCGCTTCAGAATTTATGGTCAGTCACAGTGATTTTCATAGCAAAGTCATAAAATTATTTTAATTTTTAAAACCCAAATGATTATGTATAAAATGAGATAAGGATGTATTTTAAAGTCTGTGCTGTGGGGTGGAGTCAGGTGTCTCAGAATAAAAGAATACGAAGGGGAGGATGGGATGAGAGACGGAGAAGGGATCGACCAAAGAACGTTTATGCTCAGCCCTTGGACACAGGCAGTATGGGGATGGGCTCTGCGGGGGGGGGGGGGGGTGGGGAAAGGGAGGGAAAGCTGGAACTACTGCAACAGCATAAATGATAAAAACCTTAAAGAATAGAACTATGAGGAAGGTCTTAATGATACAGTGTGAAAGTAATATTTCTGTTTCAGTTTATTACAAATCTGTTTATTTAGAGACCTGCTTAGCTTCTACCCAAATTAGGAAGACTGTTTTATCTGTTAATATTATGAATGGGGAGTGGCTATTACTTAAAAATGGACCCTAAACCGTTAACAGCTCTGTGTTATTCTAAGCTGATCAGTCTAAGACTTTGGTAATTTTATTGTTTGTTTTTCCTGAACTTGAACCTCTTAATCGAAGCCTGCTCCTAAAACAGTCCCCCTTCCTGCTTCTCTTTTGCTACTACTGTATTAGCTGATGTCCAAATTGGATGTTCCCAAACTGACCTCCTCTAAAATCGGTATTTATCCCTGAGAATTTAATTAATGGACTCAACACACACATGCACACGTGTGAGTGTGTGTTTCTGTTTTCTCCTGTCTTTACAAAAATGTCATACTATTTCTGAGAGCTATTAGGCACTTTAAAGGAAGAAAGTAATTTATACTATTTTAGCGTGTTCAGCTTTGACTTACAGGATTAAGCATTAGGGAACTGTTAAGGATTTAAGTCTAAAGTAGAGGGTTAACATTTGGGCTTCCACAGGGTCTGAGGGACTCTCCTGGGCCCTTTGGAAGTCAGAAGATAATAGTTGTCTGTCCTCATGACCCGTGTGTCTGAGGGAACAGAAGACCTAGAACTGTGATCGGACTAAATCAGCAAAATGAATGCTATATGGAAGACGTTTTTGTTTATTTATTTTTTAATTTTATTTTTTCCATCACCATTTATCTCTTCTATTCCCTTAAGATTTTTACAGAGTAAAAATGGCTGGAAAAATGAACTCGTAATTTAAAAGAGAGAATAGTTTGTATTAATGGGAATGTAGCATATATTTTTCTTTAATAATTATTACATGTGAATCCTTTAGTCCAGCTGGATGATGCTATAAATATTGATGAGATAATGACGGATACTTCTACCAGCTATCTTCTGTGCCTCTGTGAAAATAAGGAAAACGCTAAGGACAAAAAGAAGGGGGATGTTTTCATTGGAATCGTGGTAAGTACTAGGTAGGTGAAGAACAAATGATATATGTTCATGGTATCTTGAAGTGAGCAATCATGAATGGTTTATAATGAGGATATCTGATGAAGTGTGCCCTCAAGTAATTATACTTTTTAAAAAAGTTTTTCTCATAGTTTTATATGTTAAATCACTAGTTACAGTTTTCTCATATGGCTACTTGGCACTCTGTGCCATGAGAGGTCTAGATAGTCTCTGTCCATGTGCTCTAGAAGTTTAGGGTTGAAGACAGACACAGTGATGGGCATGAACAAGAACAACATACAGGCGGCAGAATAAAACACGAAACCAGCACATGCATGGAGAGCAAAGGGTTTTACAGATTTCCTCTAGATCGGGGTGTCAGACTCATGTTCAGTGGGGGCCACATCAGCCTCGTGGTTGCCTTCCAAGGGCCGAATGTAATTTCAGCTCCTTAACAGTTAAGGAATAGTTACATTTATAAATTATTTTGGCCCTTGAAAGGCAACCACAGGGCTGATGTGGCCCCGGGTGGGAATGAGTTTGACACCCCTGCTCTAGGGGTTCGAAATGAAACACAAATGATTATGGGATTGCTGTATATAGATTTGGAGGGAAGAACAGAACGAAGGGGAAACGATAGTTGTGCAATATAAGACTTCATATTTAATTAGTATTACGAATATTTACGATCAGTCTTCCAGACAAATGTGATTTGTGAATCATAGTTCTGTTGATCTTGTCCTCAGGCAGTTTGTGAGTGAGTTTTCCTGTTTACAGACCAACCGGACTCAGCTCAAGGCCATGGACTTTGTAGGGCCCTCAGGACTATTAGACTCCCTTGATCTGTGGAAGGTCATGCAAAAGTAGGACTCCTTGCCCAAGTAATAAGTAATTTTCTTTGTTTTCTTTGAAATTAGCTGCAATATCAACAAAAATTCTTACAACCCAGATGTCTCCAAAGGACCTTTTAATACTTTTTTTCTGGCTGCATAACTCTGCTAACTTGATGTTTGCTTAACCAGTAAGCCTTTTGTGGGGCAGTTAGCATTACTATTTGGTGGCTCTAAATGATTTTTTATCCTTAAGAAGCACTTTATTCTAGCCACAGGCAGTTGGATTTATTTATAAATAGTAAGGTTATTTGCTCTTAGGAATTAGCATTGGTAATGGGCTATTTTATATTTACCTGACACTAAAGAACACAGTTGATAATATATAACTTAGTGCTTTTAGAAATACCCTCTGACCCACTGCCAAAGCTAACTCTAGTGTATGAACTTGGGTGGGAGAAACAGTAGTTTGCATCTCAGGTGTTTTCTCGAGACCTGGTCTTGACCTCAGCAACCCCATTTGGGTCAGTGAGATCCAGAGCTCTGGGCCCCGGCTGCACCTGTCTTCTGAGCTCCAGGCTCCTGCATCCAACTCTTATTGGACAAGGCCCTCAGGATTTGCCCCAACTTCTCCAGCTCAGTGTGACTGCTGTGGAACTCTCCTGCCTTTACTCTCAGTACTCTCATTGCTGGATTTGTTCTCGTGGTCACGAGTGTCACATGCGCCCCAGTCACCCTCTGGGCATTATCTCTGGGTTATTGACAGTCTGACGTCAAAGGCTTCACCGTGTTCCTCTGCCATCAGGCCTCATGTCTTCAGTCTGGGCAGTGCGGTGGTACACGGGCCGACTTTGGGTTTCTCAGACACGCACACACAGAGTAACAGACATTGCAGGTGTTACAATAGAAACCTTTTCTCTGATTTAAAAGAACAAAGGGATGTTTGTCTGATACATTTGTGACTTGAACTTCTATAAATGGCTTTTGTAAATGTTTGGCTGGTAGACTGGGAGATAAACTTACACACATATAGTAATGTACTTTAGTCCAGCCACCTGGGCACTGGAGGAAGGTCTTTGGGCTAGAATTCAGGAGGTTGCTTGAACCAGAAATGAAGAATTTTTTAAAAATGATAAACTGTTCAAGAGGAAAAAATGCATGAAACAATGCATAATTGTAGTGTCCCGTGAGGTGAGCACCCGGGTCCGAACTACAACCCTGTCTGCAGGAGGGCCCCACGCTCCAGAGGCAGCCGCAGTCCAGATCTGTGCGGCCGTCATTTCCTTGCTTTTAATGTTAGTGTTACCACCTAAACCATCAACAGATGTCAACATATGGTGTATATTTGGGGAGGGGGTTGCTGCTTTTGTTTACAAAGTACTGGTGGGATTTATTTACATGTTTTACGGTAGCAGTTCTGTCAGTTGCTAGGTTGTGTTTCATTGTATGTTCTACAGTTTATTCATCATTCTGTTGATGTACATGTGGGTTCTTTCCAGGGTTGGTACAAAGAACGCCACTATAAACCCTTTTTGTACATGTGTCTGAGTTTCTCAAGAGTGCCTACCTAGGGCAGGAATTGCTGAGTGATGGAGTGTGGATGTTTTCAACTTCCCTAGAAAATGCCAGGCTGTTTTCAGAAGAGGCTGTATCAGTTGACTTTCCTTCAGCCACATGTGAGTGTAGGGACTGGTTATATTTTCTCCTGTGAGCTAATACAGTATGTAACTAGCTCCCTGCATTTCTTAAGTGTTCGTAGTGGACAAGAGTGTAGCCTTGGAGTCAGACTCCATGACTCCTGGCTCTGCGACTCTGTCGCTCTGTGACCTTGGGTAAATTGCTTAAGAACTTTTTTCACCTCTTTTAAACCATGATCTTTTCCAGTTTATCTTTGCCTTTATTGGCTTGGGGTGTTAGTTATCATGGTTATTCCCTGGATAGATAATCTACCTGGGGTTCATTCAGAGTTGGTTATATTTGATTTTTTTTGCAGAAGTTATACTTTTTAAAAAAGATTTTATTTGTTTATTTTTAGAGAGAGAGGAAGGGAGGGAGAGAGGGAGGAAGAGAAACCATTGATATGCAAGAGAAATATCAATTGGTTGCCTCTCGAATGCCCCCAACTGGGGACCTGTCCCATAACCCAAGCATGTGCCCTGACTGGGAATTGAACCAGCAACCTTTTGGTTTGCAGGATGATGTTCAACCCACTGAGTCACATAAACCGGGGCCAAATGTTACACTTTTTTATTTATTAACTTTATATAATTGAATAGAAATTTACTACTACTGTTTTGGCCAGGTCACTAGGAACATATCACTTCATTACTTTTAGTGATGACACTGGTGTTTGTATAATGCTTTATAGTTTACAGAGCATTTATGTTTTCTGACTTGAACCTTTCAGGAACCCTGAGAGGGAGGTAGGCTGGTTTAGTCCCAGTAGGAGAGGAGGACACTGAGGGTTGGTAACTTGTCACAGTGACTCCCTCAGGTTTGTGGGATCAGGAGGACTTGGACTCGGTACCGCTGTACAATCCCATGTGGCACAGTTGGGATATTGGTGAACCTGACTGCTCATTAAGAGTCTGGGGAAGCAGACAGATTTCAGACTTTTTAGAAATGGAGTACATGCTGGAAAGTGTGTCATCTTTGGTATTTCCATACTTATCTACGCTGTGTCATAGTTATAATTGGGAACACATGTTTTCTGTGACGTGCCATTTTATTGTTTTCAGGGAGTGCAGCCTGCCACAGGCGAGGTCGTGTTTGATAGTTTCCAGGACTCTGCTTCCCGCTCGGAGCTGGAAACTCGGATCCTGGGCCTGCAGCCGGCCGAGCTACTGCTCCCCACCCGCCTGTCAGAGCGCACGGAGGCGCTCATCCACCGCGCCACAGCTGTCAGGTACGGTGCGCGGCCCTGGAGAGCAGCAGGTTCTGAAACTCAGGCTGGAGGCTGCTGAAAATTTTTTACTTCTAAAAATATTTCAACAGTGGTAGTAGAAATGTCAAAAAAAGAAAAACGGACTACCTGTAATATCAGTAGGACTTTAGAAACTGATTGTTAAAGGGGTTTAATGATATTAGTTGGTCATTAATCTTCAGTTTCTGGAGATAATTTAGGGTTCATTTCTTAGAAAGCTTGTATTACTTTGAAAATACATGATCTGTGCTACAAGTTTCAATTTGTGGCTCTGTCCATGAATTTTATTTATTAGCTCTAAGGCCACACCTTTTATTTGTGAGGCAGCGTGCTAGGCACTGTGGCATGCATAGGAAGAAGGTGCAGTTGCGGCCCGTGCCTGGCAGAGTTTATAATCCAACAGGAGAGGCAGGTGTGTACCTACCTAACTAGACTCACAAGACATGGCCTGTTCAGTAACCAGTGTGAAGGTGCCCGCTTCGGAAGACTCTATACTGCCACCTGGAGGAGTGTGGTGGGAGAAGAGCCTGGCGCGGGCTGGGGCGCCAGTGCAGGAGACTTCATAGATCGAGGAATTTGGACTTTGGACTACGCAGGGGAGCCCACACAGATTCTCAGTTAGTCAGTTGACAAGTCAGAAAATCTGATTAATTGATAGGTGAAGTTCCATATGTTTCTTTGTTCTTAGAGTTAAGAATGTGCCTTTTTTATTTAACGTGAATGTCTTTCAAAGATGCTTTTATAATATGTGTTTATTTAGGAAAAGTTGGGAGTTAAAAAATAAAAATAATAAGTCAAATACTGTAGCTCACAGATAATTGCTGTTAAATATTTTAGTGTATTATTTCCATGTATGTATATTACCTTTTGTTTGTGACCTTGGATTTATGTTTGGAATCACTTTTCTGTCCTGTTAATTTTTTTCCTTAAAAATTCCCATCTATGTTTTGCTTTATTATGGAAAAGTTCAAGCATATACAAAATGATACAGAATAGTGTAGTGAACCTCTGTGAATCAAACTGGCAGTTTCAGCATTTCCCAACGCAGCCAATCCCACTTCATCCATCCCCCTACTCCTTCCTTCCTTGGGTTATTTATTAGGAGCAAATCCTAGAGAACATCGTTTTATCTGCCAATATCTCAGTGGGTACTCATGAAAAACAACTTGGGGGCTGCAGTGCCCCCACCCCTGCTGTGCCATTGAAAAATCTATGTATTACTTTTGACTCCCCCAAAACTTAACAAGTCAGTTAAGTTTTTGTTTCTGCAAGTGGTTGGTTCCAGGACCCCACATATCAACCAAAAACTACACATGCTCAAGCCCTTGAATAAAATGGTACAGAATAATGCGTACAGTCGGCCCTCCTCAGCCTTAGATTTCAGCCTTGGATTGAAAATACTCTTTTTGATCCTCAGTTGATTGACTCTGTGAATGTGAAGCCTACAAATACAGAGGCTGACTGTATGTATTGAAAAAAATTACGTATAAGGGGACCTGTGCAGTTCAAACCCAAGTTGTTCAAGGTCAGCTGTAATTGAGACTAAAGGGAATCAGTACTTTCATTTCTGATTTCTACTTATTTTTGTAAACAGTAAAGTTAAAATTTAATAAAATGTGTATGCATTCCACAAAGACATTGCCAAAACTGAATTATTTGGCTGGCAGAGAGCATTGCCTGGTGGTATTCCTAAATGTTTACTCATTAAATGAGATGTAAAAGCCATTTGGCCTACTGAAGATAGTTTGGGTGCCCTGTGTAGGTTTTCCAAATTCCATGGCTGCCTTTGCCTTTGCCTTTGTCTTGTTTTAATTTGTGTTTCTCTGATTATCATTGAGGGCGTGTAATTTTTCCTGTGTTTAGTGACCACGTGTAATTTTTATTTTGTTTGCATATCAGACTAAGTGAAGTCAAGAGTCCCATTTCTGTGGAGTGTCTAAAACTAATCTCTATTTATGGACAGATAGGAGTAGCGGAGATTCCGGTGTCAAGTGGTCCAGTAGGTGGCTTCTGTCACGTGAGCTTTGGGTTGGAGGATTGGCTCCTCCCCGTAGTGATTTTGGCTGAATTACTCAACTGTGTTGTCTTTTGATTTCCTTTTTAAAATAGGGAAATAAGAGTGCTTTACATTATAGGATTGTGTGAAGATTAAGTAAATTAATATAGTATAGAAAGCTCTCGATAGTGGAAGCTATTCTTTTTCTTCTCCCCCTCTCTCCTCTCTCCCTTCCCTCCTCCTCCACCACCATTATTTCTTTTACTATTACTTCTCCCCAGTTCTCTTCTGAAATTCTTATCAGAAGAAATCAAGTATGTTGGACCTTCTGTTCTCTCTGTGTATAGCCTTTATGGTGTCTTCTCTCATCTACAGCTGGTTCTCATATTGTTTTGGCTCTTGGGGAGTTCTTTTTTTTACGTACTCTCTTTAAGAAACATTTTTGATTCTATTTTAACTCACTGTTTCTTTGTGTTTTTGGTAGACTGCACCAATTAAGTCCTCCATGCTTATGGTAGCATTGCTTTATTTTTAAACTTAGATCTCTTGGCATTCTGAAAATACTTTAGTAATCCTCTGTATTTTACTTTAGTCAATTTATTTTTCTTTAAAAACTTAATTTAATTTTAGCATTTAGCTTTTAATTCACTTTTTCTGTATTTTGCTTTATTGTGTGAGGTGTGGTCCTATCTTAGTTTCCCCCCTAAATGCTAGCGAGTCCATTTTGGCAGCCATGAAATTTAGCTTTTTTCAACCTGAGGTAAAAGTTGCAGTCACGTTAAAAAAGAAAAGAAAATCAGCAACTGGGATATAGTTGTTTTTAATTAGTAAGTATGAAAAACGTCCCTGGCCAAAGTTGTGTTTCATTTTTACTATCAGTAAACAATATAGCATTGAATTGTCGAGGAGAAAATTTGTTTCCTTTGGTATTTTCTTGTCCATTTTAAATAGTGATAGAGTCTTATGTCTCAGACTTAAAATCTTCTCTTTTTCTTTTACTGTAAACTTGAATGTAAAAATAGCACTTTTTATCAGTTATTGGTTGATATCTTACTAATACTGAAGAAATAATAAAGCTGTGTGGAAAAAGGCAGAAGAATGGCTTGGGATTATAGAGTACACGTTTGAAGTACGTATTTGGTTTTTCTTGTATTCTTAACTTCGACCACAAGAGGTCTCCAAAGGATTTTGTATATTCTGTGAATTACAGTTTAAAAGCTACTGAAAGCTCCCACTTATTTTTATTTCTCAAAGTTTAGACCGATTTAGTTTGTGTCATATGGTAATTTAGAATGACTATTACTCAAAGATTGTACTAAGATAAATGTTTTATTTCTAAATAATGATAAGCTACCAATTTTTCGTAGGTTAATTATCTTCATTTACTTAAATATGTTTATAAGGTTTCAGTTTAAACCTTAGGAAATCTATGTTATTATCCTGATTGTTACCCTTTCTGTTTGTCTTGAGAATATTTATAGAGAAACATTACAGAAAAGCTGTGATCCAGCCCCCCATCCATGCTAGCAAAGGCCCCTTTAAAAAGACCATTAAGGTGATAGTACAGGTAATTCTAGTTTTCTTTTTTGAAACATCCATTACTACTGTTGAAATATTTTTGTAAGTAAAAACTTTTAAATTACTTTAATAAGTAGTTTTGGAATTTAATAAGTAGTTTTGGAATTCATTAATAAGTAGTTTTGGAATTCAGTAAAGTTTAATAAGTACTTTCAGAATGCTTTCATGTGGATTAAGTCATACTACCTTCTTATGAAATTTCTCCTTTCTGGCTTATTAAAAAAATAAGTTTTAAAGCTAAAAATCAAAATCACTTGAAGAAATACCAACACCAAGTGAATTCAGGGAGCCCACAGGAGGGCACCCATCACGTCCGGAGCCCTGTTTTGAGAGAGGGACGGCCTGGAGTAGGGGCAGTTCGTCGCACGTGGGTCATGCAGGTAGAGCCGAGTCACTCCTGTTTTACTTACCTGATAGAATTCTAAGGAGCTCACAAATAAACGTTTTTTACTTTCGTATGTAAATAGTTACTTAAGGTGTACTAAAAACATGTAATTAGTGAATCAGATCTGTGATTTCATAAATTTGTATGGTGTAAAAGGAATCCAGTTGATAAAATGTGGGTTAATTTAACAGAAACCAACAGGGTGCGGTAATAATGTGCTCATGGATGTGGCAGCGTTCGGAAGGTGGGGGCAGTGACTTAAGTTGGGGAAACATGTTGGAACATGTTGTAGGGGCAACATACGTCACTTTTTCTTCTTATCATTTTGATCCTGTGTGCGTGTTTGAGATAAATTCAGCCTAAGTGGGGCCATTGCTGTAGTGAAACAGTAAATCTAAACCAGAGTGTTAGAGAAATACAGACAATGAATTCGAGGCTGAGAAACGGCCTGAAGATGGGTCACTTTCCTTTTTTTTTCATAATAGCTCACCTTCTGAATTAAGGTATTTTATTCGTCCTTCAGGTTTATTTTATTAATTTAGGTAGCTAGCAGTAAATTTTCATTGATTATCCTTTTCTTATCCCTAAAAATATCTATATTGGCAGATGTTTCCAGTAGACTCTCAAGTTGGTGGTACATCCTCTGAGTTCCCCATCATTGTACATTCGTTCATTTATTCTTAAAAATATTTATGGGGTGCATACTATATGCCAAGTTCATTACTAGATGGTGAAGATATAAAAATGAATAAGATCCCTACCTTCCAGATTCTTACGGAAGAGGTAGTCATGGCAATAAATAATTACAATGAAAGTGCCAGTTGTTAAGGTTTTACAGAGTAACTGGTAGCATTAGAACATCAACCTTTGCCTGGAGCAGTCAGGCCAGACTTCCTAAAAGTACGCCAGAACCGAGACCTGAGGAATGACAGCAAGGTGGATGGAGGTGTGAGAGAGTGCGGTTTGGTTGGCTGCTCTGCCAGAGTGAGCGTGGTAGCCTGAGGCAGGACAGATGTGGGGACT